GTCTAGTCTAATCCCACTCACAATTCAAAGTTGTACAATAGTAAGTTTTTGTGAAACGGCGTGTCGTCCAAAATTGATGATTTGCCATAAAGTAGGAAGTTGTTGTAAATTCAGTCCCTCCCCGAACACATTTTCATGCCAATATTCAGTTATAATAAATAGTGACAAGTGCTCTGCACCACAAAGGGGACACCGGAAGTGATGTTTAACACCTTTGTGCAGCATCTGAAGCTCGTGGCAAATTCACAGCCGCAGTGGCAGAGCTCCAGAATCTGCAAGGCGGCTGCCTCACACCTTGACGCCTGCCCAACGCTGCTTGCAGCTTTAATTTTCTTCTTCTTTGTCTTCTGTTTTCTGCAAAGTAACCTCAATTTTGCCTTAACATCCTCAAAAACTCACCAAACTTTGCACAAAATTCAAGGGAGAATTTACGTGTCATATGGTTTTCCTGCATGGGCATGGCAAAATGGCTTGCTCCCTACAGAGCGGTTATAACTTCAGTGTATATGCTCACATCTGTTCCAAAATGTACATGTATGATAACAGTCCTGCCCTGAGTACATCACTAAATCAACCTTCTCTAAAAGTCATAGCACCACCCACTAGCAACAGGAAGTGTCAAATTACCCGCTATTATGTACTACTCTTAGCAGGTTGGCCACACCGACCTCAAAACAGTCTCAGAAGAGCCTTAAGACTTTGATGATGCTCTGTTGTGAAGCTGGTGAGTTTTTGTGCAGCTTGTTTGTGGCATGGCAAGTTCAACAGCCAGTTCGATGGTTCGCCATCAAACAGGAAGTTCACTGCAACTTCACTGTACATACTCAAATCTGTACTAAATTTCACGTTTCATAAGGGTCCCACCCTGAACATATCTAAAGGACAAAATTCACTCATCTTTATAGCGCCACCTGTTAGCAGTAGTGAACCACCAACAATGCAGCCCCTACGGCCTCTTTCATCCAAATGAACGAAACTTTTGTGGTATCATCCCAAGATACACAAAAAAAGCCTATTGAAGTCATACCCAAAACGCAACAGGAAGTCAGCCATTTTGATTTGATTGTGCAATTTCATTCCTTTTACACGGTATTTACTTTAACAAACTCCTACTACAGAATTAATCGTATCGACTTAAAATGTGTGCATGCCGTGCATTCTAAAGGCACCGATAGTTAAAAGATTTGCTATCTGTGCATTTTTGTCGATGGGCGTGTCCATGGCATTGCGTTGAAAATTGATGATTTGCCATGAAACAAGTTGTTATCACTTCAGTGTACATGCTCACATCTAAGGCTGAGAGTTCTGTCCTGAACACATCCATTTTCATTCACTCAACGTAAAAGCGCCACCCACTGGCAAAAGAAAGTTTTATGCTGTGATGTACTACTCCTAGCACATTGGCACCATCTACCTTAAAACAGTCTCACAAGAGCCTTAAGACACTGATGATGCTCTGTTATGAAGCATGTGAGTTTTTGTTTAACTGGCACAGTGTCCAATATCGATGATTCGTCATGAAACAGGAAGTTTTTATATCATTATATATATATATATTTCATTTTCACCACGCGGTCCACACTTCATGTACTGGTACACATCCTACGATTAGCAGGTGTTCTCTAGCACCACACAGGGGAAACAGGTAGTGACGTTTGACTCCTTCCTGAACAGTGCAAAAGTAGTGATACTTCAGAACCACATCTCCGCGACACTCCCCGGCACAAGTCAGGGCCCGCCCAACGCTGCTTGCAGTTTTAATTGTTGGTTTTGGTCTTTCAAGTAGGTTCACATTGAGAAAATCTTTGAATGATGACAGTTTTATAATCACATAATAATAAATGAGTGGTGTGTTAATTAAAGAGGTGGTATTCTGCTTTTTAGCTTTTCCCCTCTCCTTTATTGAGTTATATTCATTTTTGTGCATGTAATAGGTTTGCAAAGTGAAAAGGTCCACCCTAAAGGGAGTTCCCATCTCCCACAGAATACTCTGCTCTGAACTACTTGAACTACTTGCCATTTCCCTTTCATCCCTGTGACATCACAGGGATGAAAGCTAAATGCGCCTCATATAATGCTTGCCAAGCGTCTAGTCGGACACGCCCTCAAAAACACTAATTGGCTCTCTTCTCTTCTCATTTGCCCGCCCTTCTCTGCTTCTGGTTGGCTAGTAGTTCTTAACTAGGAACTGCACATGTGCAACTCCCAACAAAGATCATTTAGAGACAAGATGTATCACTCCATTGGTAAATCAAAGCCTTCACACACAGGGTGAAAAAAAGAGCTGCAGCAATATGCAGTATGACAAAAATATGATGTTTTTTTGAAAATTAAACCATGTAAACCTGTTCTGCTAGAACCCCTAAATAGGATTTTGAACCTGAAAATTAGCATTATGCCACCTCTTTAAGAAGCAGAGAGAAATCCTCTCTCCTATATGAAGAAGCAAGTGTGCCGAAGGATGAGAAGACAGAAGGACATAGAGACAGAGAGAAAAAGGAAGAGAAAGAAGACATGTGCGCAGAGGCAGAGTGAGACAGCGGGAGAAAAAGTAATATAAGCAGGCAGTCAGGCAGAGCAGTGTAGAAGAGGGAGGGAGTGTGTGAGGGTGAGAGGTGCAATTACTGCTTGTGATTCAATCTGTTGGCCGTGTATTATGCCATTATAAATACTTAATGTGAGGTACTGCATGTTGCAAGACCCTCGCGTTTTATTTAGAATGAATTTGAAATGTTGGCAGTGATTTATCAGGAGTGCTGAAACCTGCAGAAACACCAAATATTTTATAAAAGCAACTACATCACTGTGAATCCCCTAAACAGAGTAATGCAGTTCAGCTCTGCTGTCGTTCATCAGAGGCGAGCTAAAGCTGTCATCTGGTGTCTGAGTCGCTGTGTTATATAATGCTGGATAGTCCTGTGCTCCTCTTCTCTTCTCTTCTCTTCTCTTCTCTTCTCTTCTACAGAGCCATGGATCAAACCTTGGATTTGTCCTGAAAATAACCCCCACACACAGGCCCTGATGTGTGTATACCAGCTGTAGCCGTAGTCAGGTATTATTTCCTCAAAACATCAACCTGTGTAGGCCTCTGTAACATAGCCTGACTAGAGAAGGGTTTTATTGATGTGGTGGCACTGTAAATTGGGATTCCTGGATTCTGGTAAAGACTATAGAATTTAGCATCTGCATAAGATGAGACAAAATAAATCAGAGATTAGAGATGGAGTTGTGTTGCTTTATGGAATAGCATGATTTAGTGGCATATGACATATGGTGTTTGTTATAGTTCTGTTGATGTTATGGCATGGTATGGTTATGTAGTAGCCTGTTTACTATATCCAGGAGATGCTAAACTGGGAGATACTGTATATTGACAATATCAGCATTTTGAGATGAGATTACAAGTGGGATTTTGCTTATTTTAATTGTGATAAAGATTAAATATTGTCATTTTCTTGTGTAAAAGGCTGCATTAAAGTTTGCTGACATGGCATTCTACCTCCGCCATCTAATCATTCTAGCTGAATGAATGTAATGTGTCAATTCATTGTCCACATAGCAGCTTTAAATAATAATGACAAATAAAATATCCCCAAATTCTTACTGTGGAGATGCTGAATAGAAAATATCATGGTTTGTTGATTCTGCTATTACACGTCTAAATATATCTGCCATAACATGACATTTTTTGAAATGCAAATGTATTATTTATATGTCAGCAAAAAAAATCAGGTTCCTCTGGCTCCTCCCTCTGCTCTTAATTCCATTTGAAAGAATCCACCGCTCCATGGTCAAAATAACCAATCAGAGCCAGGAGCAGTCTCTAACGGAGTGTCAGTCACTGCTCTTGCACACGTTGTGCAGCCCCCCTCCTCGTGCATGCTCTCCCTCAGTCAAGCTCAATATCTTCAGCACGGCTTCGTTTTGCAAACACAGTGGCTGAGAAACAACCTCACTGCTCCCCTTCAAAAGCTGTTCCTCACTCAAAAGCCATTCCTTACTGTTTGTCATCATGCCTCTTTGCCACTCGTCGAACGCCATGGTATCAAGTGTGCATGAGCAGTGATTGATACTGCATTAGAGACTGCTCCTGGTTCTGATTGGTTGTTTTGACCAGGGAGTGGTGGATTTTTGCAACTGGCATTAGGAGCAGTAGGAGGAGCCAGAGGAACCTGATTTTTCATAGATGATCTGTTCCATGTACTACTGTCAGGATATATTGACATTCATAGCAAAAATAACAAAAAGTTATTTTTAAAAGAATTGCCTACTGCAGCCTTAACAGGAAACGGTGGTGTTACTGATAATACTAGTAAGCCTACTCCATACACACCATCGAACATAAGCCTAGCCAGCCAAAGCCCTTAACATACGAACACACACACTTGCACACATGCACAAAACATTGCCCATGCAGAAAGAAGCATCCAGCTGTATCATATCTCCAACACAGACCACAGAAACATCTCATGGTCATTTTTTTATAAATGACACCCTTAAACATTACAGCTCTCAATTGGTAATAGAGACAAACAAGGGCTCAGTTTTGTATTTTTCAGTATAATATAGAATAAAATCAAATCTGAGATCAAAATAGCAACTGTAGAGGCTAGCTGATGACAACAGCAACGTAGAGCACAGGGGCATGGTGGTTGTAAGCCACGTTAACATGCAATGTCAAACTGTTCAAATGAACCATTTCAGCACCACGGACAGCTCTCAGGTTTTTAATTTCAGCATCCAGTGTGACACGGGATAATCACTCCTCTCCTGTTAATAACACACTCAGATCCTCATATGTCCTCCTTTACATCATGCACGAGAGAGAGAAACACTTTGTTACACCCTGTTAATGCCATCCCTGTAAAATCTGAACCAAACGTCAGCTGGTGTCTGGCTATTAATCAACCGTGTTCGTGTTAAAACACACACTGGGATGTAATAAACCCAGAATACCACCCATCCCCATTTACCCAAAACGCCTAAACTGCTGCTCCTACCTCGTCATTTCCATCCCAGGTCCTCCGACTCCCATCCCCCCTCCTGCGGCAGCTCCGTTGACCGGCTTCATGTGCTGCCCTACCCCCGGTCCTGTTGCAGGTCCAGTCATCACCGACCCCATCATCCCAGCAGTTCCTGGCTCACCAGGCTGCCCGCCGCCCTCCATACTTGCTTCGTTCCCCATCTCAGTCTCGGCTCAGGAGACGGGAGGGAGGTGGAGAAAGGTATAAGGCCAAATCTGCAGTGTTTTTTTTCACTATGTTGTCCTTTTATGTAATCAAAAAGAATTAATGGAAAAGGGGGAGAAAACTGGAAGAACGAACTCAGCGTTGCTCTTCAATCACCGCCATGATCATCCGCGTCAGCTTCAGGACCAGCGGGCTGCCTCCTGACGTGATGACGGGAGCGCGCCGCAGAATCACAGACGCTGACACGCTCTCTGTGGCTGTCTGTGCTGCTGATGCCGACAAAAGGAGAAGTGCAGAGTGAAGAAAGGGAGGGGGCTACAGTAGGGGAGAGTGGGGTAAGATGAACCAGTGGGTAAATTGACCCATCCCTGGTTTCTAGGCAACTGTACACATTTATACAAGCCCTGCAAGATCCAGTGAATGAATAAAAATCTAACAAAAACGTGGGAATAAGAAACTACCTCAATACTACCTTGTTCCCATGTTCTACTTTAACACATCCTGAAGTTTGCCGTGTCAAAGTTTTCCAGTTTAGAAGAATATAGAGTTTAACAATTAGGACTCACTGTCGAGATGATTGAAACACTAACGCTAATGCATTCTCATGTGGTTGACCTCATCTTTTAAAATAAATCATATTTAAATAGGCAGGCAATCAGGCGCTGAGCCAGTGAGCAGTTGCAATTACATATTATACAGTAAACTTTGAATGTATACCAGTGTGTTTCTGCTGTCCCACCCCTATGTTTCTTGTGTCCCAACTGGTCAGGACAAAAGAAATACCGTGCAACTTCCATCCAACGAAGGTTAAAATCAAGGGCAACTGGACTTGGTTGAAGATACTGGAAGACGTTTCGTCCCTCATCCAAAGGACTTCTTCAGTTCTGACTGACTGGCAGGGAAACTCAGCTATTTAACCTCAGTGGGGTCGTTATCCCAGGTCATCGATACCGCTGGTTCGTTAGTGTTCCTTGTTTCTGTGACGACAGTCGTTACAGTCGTTAAGACTACCTGTGGCCAAGACTGAACGACCATCGTTGGTATCTTCACCTGAGGCCAATAGGTTATGTTTGTTGAGTTTCCTGGGAAGTGATGAAAGGACAGCATTGTAAGTGGGGGATAAGTGGTGGCGTAGACCCCCTCCCCTGTTCAATGACGGCTTCTCAACCCTAGTGTAGATGGCTTCCTTGACACCTCTTTCAAACCATCCATCTTCTCTGTCTAAAATGTGCACCTGGTGGTCCTCAAACGAGTGTCCTCTGTCCTTCAGATGTAAGTAGACTGCAGAGTCTTGACCTGAGGAGTTGGCCCTTCTGTGTTGAGCCATGCGTTTGTGTAGTGGTTGTTTAGTCTCCCCAATATACAGGTCTGTGCATTCCTCACTGCATTGGACCGCATACACTAGATTGCTTTTCTTGTGTTTGGGTGTGCGGTCTTTGGGGTGTACCAGCATCTGTCTTAGTGTGTTCTTGGGTTTAAAAAACACAGGGATGTTGTGTTTGTTGAAAATCCTCCTGAGTTTCTCTGATACTCCAGACACGTATGGAATCACAATGTTGTTGCGTTTGACCTTCTTTTCCTCCTCCCCTGTAGTTTTGTTCTTCTTGGATCTTGTGGCTGTTTTCACAAAGGTCCATTTAGGGTATCCACAGGCTGTAAGTGCCCCCTTCAGGTGGTTCTGTTCCTTCTCTCTGGCTTGGGCGCTTGTTGGTATGTTTTCCGCTCTGTGGTGCAGTGTTCTCATGACCCCTAGCTTGTGCTCCAGTGGGTGGTGGGAATCGAACAGTAGGTATTGGTCTGTGTGTGTGGGTTTTCTGTAAACACCAATCTGCAGGCTCCTGTCCTCTTCAATGTGTACAGCGCAGTCCAGGAAGGCCAAACTGTTGTTGTGAACATCCTCTCGTGTGAACTTGATGTTACTGTCCACAGAGTTGATGTGTTCTGTGAAGGCTTGCACTTCCTGGCTTTTAATTTTGACCCAGGTGTCGTCCACATATCTGTACCAGTGGCTCGCTGCTATTCCTCTGAAGGAGTTGAGGGCTTTATTCTCCACTTCTTCCATGTAGATGTTTGCCACAATCGGGGATACCGGTGAGCCCATGGCACAGCCATGCTTCTGTCTGTAGAATCCACCGTTGTACTGGAAGTAGGTGGTGTTTAGACAGAGGTCGAGTAATTTGCAGATTTGGTCAGGGCTGAGTCTAGTTCTGTTGTCCAGGGTGTTGTCTTGTGTTAGCTGTTTCCTAACGGTTTCTACTGCCTCTATGGTGGGGATGCAGGTGAACAAAGAAGTTACGTCATAGGATACCATGGTTTCATCTGGATCCAGTTTTAGTTCTCGAACTTTGTTTACAAAGTCAATAGAGTTTTGGACGTGGTGAGGCGTGTTTCCCACCAATGGAGCTAAGATGGTAGAAATGTGTTTGGCAATGTTGTAGCTGACCGAGTTAATGCTGCTGATAATCGGCCTGAGTGGGGCTCCTTCTTTGTGCATCTTGGGTAGTCCATAAATGCATGGAATGGCATCTCCAGGATACAAACGGTAATATTGTTCGCGGGTGATGGTGTTGTCCTTCTGTAACTGTTGTAGACTTCCAGTCTCTCAAGGCACATTATACAAAAGTTGTTTCACATTTGTACAAAATAGCACCTGGTAACACATGAGTTGCTGATCATAACAAAAAATCCTGTCCCTAATGTTATCTTTTAAAATGACGTTAATCTGAAAAATATGGAAAACCCAAAGTGCCAGAATAATTAATCAATAAATAAACTTATAAATAAATATATGTGGAAATATATGCAAGAATGAATGAATGAATGAAAGAATAAATAAATGTGGAAACAGATGCAAGAATGAATTAATGAATTAAATAATAAAATAAATAATAATAAAATAAATGTGTAAATATAAGAAAGAAAGAAAAAATAAATAAATAAAATAATAAATACATAAATTTGCCATTGCCTTTCTCTCACAAGATCTACTGCTTTTGCCTTTTCCTTATGAGCCCAACCTGTCAATAAACTTGGGTTGGCCCGTTCACTAAGTCAATTCTGAGGAGACAATGACTGATACCTATGTGTCGATATGCTGCGCACATTACTCTGCGTGTATTATGATGGTTGACTGTATAAAAAATCAACATAGTGTCTGTGACGTCACCCGTTGATTTCTTAACATCTGTTTTGAAGGAGGTTCATGATTCCTTAAACCATGCACCTATGTCTACTAAGCTAATATGCTACTCTGCGTTGTTAGCATGGAGGTAGCTAATCGGCTAAAAACCCCCAGAGGCAAGTTGATGTTGGTGGTTAGTAGCTGGTGGCCATATCATTACCAGCTTAACGTTACACTCGAGGTAAGTAAACCTGAAAATATACAACAAAACTTGAAATAATAATTTATCTGTTATTGAGATTATACTAAACAAGGTTAAAAATGCATAATACATCTCAAATGAACAATCCGAAGCATATCAATGAACCTGAATTAGATTTTCGCATAGGCTAGCTATAGTTACGAGTCGTTTATTTGGATGTCACTTGATTATATTACTTGTCACGTCAATAAGCTAGTGCTAGATTACATATGATAGCTATTTAGCTTGAAAACCATTAGACATAACTGTTATTGTTAACAATTATTGCCCAAGAGCTTACGTTAAAGACTGTAATTCCCCACACGCTATTTTTGACTTGAGTGTTAATGTAATAGACAGCGCTGTGTGAGATTATTGTCTTGAATATGACTGTTGACAGACAAAGGGACTTGCATATTTGTTACAACACATTTCTTTCAGTTGTTGTGTCTGCTACACACAGCTTAAACTGCTAAATACTTGTCTTGGCTACTTGACTTACGACAGCATTTTCCATTGTCTGTCTTTAAAGGACAACACAAAAAGCTATTTAAAGATTTTCATACATTTTGAGGTGTTGCTCTTTGTTCCATTTTCTCCAATATTTGACATAATAGCATTGTCAACATATAACTCATATATATAACTTTATATTTTTCATTACCTGAAGCATTTATTACACATTTATTTTCCTCCCATATTCACAGTGTGGAACAGATGTCCCACCTGGTGCCCAGAGAGCTGCAGAGACCTGGGATGCATCCTCATTGTGCTGGACGTCTGTATCTGTTGGCATGGACTGACATAGAAAAGGCCTTCCCTTCTTCTGTTTACTTTTACATTTAATGTTAGTATTCAATAATGTCCACATTTGTGTTTCATGGCCATTTTTATGTATGTTTTATGATAAATGTAGTGTTAATTGAAAGTGAAAATACTCCCAAAATGGTTCATGTTTCACATAAAATGTTGCCAATTAGGCAGTATATTTCTTTGTGTGCATAAGTAATTCCACTTTCTACCTCATACTTAAAGACAAAATAAGGACCCTTACACCCAGTACCAGAACCTGAAGTTTGAGGAGTGCCTTAACTCCTGGTCTGTCTAGTTTAAACATAAAATAACAAGCACACATCCAAACCAACCTGTGTGTAAGTGCTGAAACAAAGAATCACCTGCATAACGAGTAATTATGAATCCAACCAGGTGGTGTCATAAATTGTGACTTTTCAAACTCTGAGGTCTCAGAGCTGATCGAATGCACGTGTGGTAAATTGGTTAATCTACACTGTGTAAACCACACATGACCATCTCAGAGGTCTCAATAAATTACACATCTTTGGAGGCTTCAAAACTATTCAACGTCCAGATAATTCTTTGTTTGCACATACATGTAGTGCAAAGTAGTAACTTCTCAGTAAATGTAACATTTGTCTCTTAAACAAATGTTTTATGCTGGTTTTATTTGGACATCAGCTTTTCATTTTTAACTTTCTAGCATATAAGCAAAATGTTAACTTTAAATACATACACATGATATTTTCATTTACAGCTGTTAACTGTCATTTTGTTAAAAGTTTAGATCACATTATTTCCAGTTAACATAGTAAACTGATAGTTGAAGAATGTGATTTTATTCTAAGATTATTTAGTCTGATTCCCAAAACACAAGCAACAGTTATTAAAATTAGCATTAAAATTATATTTTGCATTCATGAAAACATCGATATTAAAAGGTTACAAATGTAACAGTTGTTTTGTATGACTTGAAATAATGTGTTGAAACAGTAATTATAATGATAGAACCTATGGATTGGAACCTAGAGTCATAATTTTAAATCACTAGTGTTCATATATTGTGGAATAAAAGTAAAAACAAAAAGTTAAACAAAACAGCAAGGAGCATGAGC